CCTCATTGTGATGGATTTGCATGGCTTAAATAAATTGGAATGGGCAGGAGCTAAAGAAATCCATGGATTTGGCAGGCCACAAGCAAGAGATGCTCTCAAGGGTTTTAAAATAGCAAACAGCACTTAACTGGTCTGTCTAGAACTTTCCTAAAGCAGCGCCAGACTCTCAATTATTTATCTTCCAGCAGAACAGACCATTTCATCTTAGAAAAGATTGCCTCTAATATGGCAGCACACAGGCCATCTCGTTGTTGTTTTACTGCTGGTGGGGTTTATGCTCCACTTCAGACAAAACTTGCAGCAGGAGAATTGAATTGCCAACCACTTTGCTTTTAGACTTGGTGATTCATTCAAACAAAATTACTTGCCTTGTCTGAATCTGAATTAGCCATCTGTGAGGTTTGTAGCACTTAGTGATTTTGCAAGCAGATGTCTGTGGAGACAGGTGGAGTCCCAGAACTCTAAAATCTCTAGGAAGTATTAAACCAGGGGGTACTTTGAATGTCTGCTTCAAGGAAGTGGTTCCATAACTTCAGGGATCGTAGGCAGGGCAGTCTCTCCCTGTTTCCAGAAAGCAAACATCTAATTGTCTTCTCTGGCAAACACATATATTATGGGTGTGCAATATCTGTAGCTCGGATGTAGGATGAGAGTGAAGGTTTGTTCTTGGGAACTTGTGGGTTGGTTTCCAAATGTTTTGTTGCCAGGCTAAGGTAACATCTTCAGCAGGGGGGTCAAACTCAAGACCTGGGGGCCAGATCCGGCCCACAGGGTGCTTGGATCTGGCCCATGGGACCACCCTGGAAGCAGCAAAGGACGAGCCTGCGGTGCCAATGTCAGCCAAAATGGAGCTTCGCAGGACACTGTCGCGGCCAAAAACAGACTTTGCGAGGGCTGTGAGCAGCCCTCCCAAGTTCTGTTTTTGCTGGCAGAGGATTGCAAGAAGCCATCACAGCTGAAAACGGAGCTCAGGAGCCCGTTTTCGCTGGCAGAGTCCTTGGGCCACCATAGCCCCCCCCCCCCCCGACAGGAGTGACGTCGAGCTGGCCACACCCCCCTCCCCAAGGTCAAAAACAACCCTGATGCAGCCCTCAGTGAAATCGAGTTTGACACCCCTGGTTTAGGGGATGTTCAGTGTCGGTGTTCTTCTATTTATAAGGACTTCAGGTGCGGGTGTATCAACCGAGAGTCTTGTGAATAAGGAGATTACATCAGGTCAGGGTCATTGGGAAGTGAACTGCTGGTGGTAGTGGTGGGGTTGTGTGAGTTGGCTGAGGTTCAGTGCTGTCTCTCATTGACTGCACGGTTGTGATAACCCGTGGCACAAAGGCAACACAGTCAAATAAGCAAGAAGCATCCCTTTATTATCTCCAACTTTGCCCCCAATGTCCAGGTTACCTTCGGCTGGAGAAAAAACTCTCCCAGGAACAGTCTTTAAGTGGAGGAAATTCAGTCCGAAAACCAAGTACATACAAACTGTAAATAAAAATCCACACAAATCACACTGTAGTAATTAACTTGACAGGGCAGGAGAAGGAATTGCAGACTTGAAAGTCCAGCAAAACACACACAGTTGGGAAGATGCCAGGAACCCAGATAAGCATTGACAATACCAGATAATTCAGAGTTTGCTCTCGACAACTTTGCTGTGCTCAGCTTTTTCTTTTTTATACTGTGTTCCCAGCTGCAGCTAAGGAAGGGAATCAGGGTCCTTTCCTACCCGTAAGCCAAGCAACTCACGTTGCTCCCTTCTCCATTCCTCCCTGCATGCCCTAGGATGAAGAGGGGGTGGGCCTGGGTCTTCCTTTGAACTCCCTCTCCCTTGTTCTACCTCTCCCCTGCTCTGCCCACCTGGACTTTGCCCTTCCCCAGTTTCCTCCACAGCCAACGGAGCCACACTCCCACTCCCTGTTAGCTGCTCGGACTCCCCCTCCAAATCAGATTCTGACAGGGGCATGATAGCGGTTGATTTGGATTCTGGGTGTGTGTGTGTCATAGGCTGGTTGTGGGTCAGTGTGTCTTTTGATGGAATTGCTTGGGGAGCACCAGGCTTCCATGGACTCACGAGCGTGGTGGGTTGCATTTAAAAACAGAAGAACACAGACACTGACATCCCATAAACTCCGCTGAAGATGTTACCTAGCCTAGTAAAGAAATATTGGGAAACCAACCCACAAGCTCGGAGAACGAACCTTCGCCCTCCTATTACCCATATTGAGTTGTAGGTGATTCTCTTCCACAGGTGGACAGTTCTCATTTGGTTTGTCAGAAGCTCACAGCCAACATGGCGGACAGCTCCAACTCCATCCGCAGCATGCTGGTTCGTGCAGAAGATTCCCGCCTCATGGGAGACTGGTGAGTGAGGAACACCGATTGATCAAAACACTGATCGATAGAACACCGATCGATCAGCGAGTATTGCGGGCTCAACCGGCAAAGGAAAGTAGGGTAGACTGTATCGGTTGGAAGAGCCCTCCGTCCTGCAGTGGATAGGCAATGGCTAGAATGACGATGACGATGATGATGATGAAAGCAAAAGTGCTACTTGAGTAAAACGAAAGGGGGATTGGAAGCAAACTTCAGATTCTCTATGGGGAAAAGCTCCTGAATGGAATTGCCTTGAGACAGGTGCATGACACCTGACACAGGTAGTTCTTGCTTAGCGAGGGCCTCCTTTGTTTATTTTATTTTATTTAGTTTATTATCATTACACTCATGCAAGGAAATTAAATACCATCTTCAGTGTACATTATGACTGTGAAAATAAACACAAACACACATCCTTTACATTCTATACAATTGAATTGAAAACCCCCGATACTGCATTAATGTTGCACTATACAGAAGAATTCAACAGAGCTACTGCCCTGGGATAGAAGCTGATTTCCAGCCTTTTTTTTAAAAAAATAATAATTTATTCAACGTTTGTAAAATTAAAAACATGTATATACATTTTACAGCATTGTTTTGAGCAATACGCTTGTACTTTCCTTCCGATAGCGTGTTATACATTGTCATAATAACTCCTTCGTCCTTTTAAAGTCTATATATGCATACATATAGTTTATTTACATTTATTTACATGTCACCCTTATTTTCAAAATGTTACTGGGTCATCAGATATCACCTTTTCTTTAGCCAGTCGTACCAGATATCCCATGTTTTGTAATATTCACTGTCTTGATTATCTTTTAGTAGTTCAGTTAGTCTATCCATCTCGGCACATTCATGTATCATTGATTATCATGTTTTTTGAAGGGGTCGTAGCCAATTTCCAATTTTGAGCAAAACTTATTCTAGCTGCTGTTATAATATGCAGAATTAAGTATTGGTGCTTCTTTTTCATATTTGGCACTAACATGGAAATCTGATTTCCATCCTATTTGTGCTTGTTTTTATTGTCCTGTCCCATCTGCCAGATGGTCATAGTTCAAAAAAAGGGGGTGCCCAGGATGAGATGGATCTTTGAGAATGTTTTGAACTTTCTTAAGGCAGCGGGAGCTCTAAAGCTCTTCCAAAGGGGGTTAGGGTTAGGGTTGCAAATGTTGGAAAGGAAGTCACGATTGCCCTTAAGAGGTCTCTTTCCTCCAGAAACTCCAAACTGAAGCTCATAAAGGGGTGGGGGATGAGAAAATGCAGGACCCAGGAAGCTGCCAGGAGCATCACATACTAAAATGCCAAGAAGTGCACCTGTCCCAGAGCAGCCTACGTTGCCTTTCCACATCTGTTTCCAGAAGATCCAACATTGGCACTAACGAAATTTTGAGGAAAGCTTGTCTTGGATTCATTGCAACTCAAATCCCAACAATTTAAAATAACTTTCAACAAGTTATTTGCTTATACTCTTAATTTTTTGTTCACCCTTGCAGGAAAAACATGAAAAAACGTTATAATGAACTGTATGACCTCAACAAGGATTTATTGTCTCAGTACAAGATTCGCTGCACCAATCACACGGAGCTTTTAAATAATCTCAAAGCAATAAATCAGGCCATCCAACGAGCAGGAAATCTCCGAGGTAGGGACCCCAAGGATTATTTCTCACATGTGTCATGTTACTTTGGAGCTTGAAAAGAAAAGCATATGGCTAAGTACAACTTGGAAAGACAACGGGAGTGAATTTTGAGCGGAGAGGCTCAATTCTTGAGCTTCTACTAGCGTTCAGCTGAATGCAGGGTAATATTTAAATTAGATTTCTTTAAAAAAATAGTCTTGCTGACATTTATATGCATTCGGCTGGAGGACTCAAGGGGAGCCAGGCCTCCATTTGAACCCGAGGAAAGCTTTCCTTGTGATCCGGTTCCCAAATAAAGGCTGTGTAGTTGTTTGAAGAGCTGAACTTACTTGCTTATGTTTAAACATAAGAGGGGAGGTACCAATGAAAGAGAACATTGGTAGCTCACTGTGGAATCCTTGGTGCTCTCTGAGCTTGGCTGAACTCCTGTAGACATTTCATGATCTAGTTGGGTAACCTCTTCAGTGCCCCATCAGGGCATCGATGATGTGGCCCAGTTGGGTCATAAAACATTATCAAGCAAACCACCAAGGTCAGAAAGTACCAAGGACTCTACAGATTACTATATTCCAGTAGAAGAGAACCTGTAGTTCAAGGTTGAAGTGTGGGGTCCTTGGTGCACTCTGAGTTTGGTTGTTTCCTTGCAGACATTTCATTACCCAAACTAGGTAACATCATCAGTGCTAGAAGGGAGTGGAGGAGGAGGAGGAGGAGGAGGACAATGACTGTGGGAGCCTTGGTGCTCTTTGAGCTTGGTTGTTTCCTTGCAGACATTTCATTACCCAACTAGGTAACATCATCAGTGTTGGAAGAGAGGGGTGATTGCAGAGGGGAGGAGGAGGAGGAGGAAGACTTGGGGTCCTTCGTGCTCTCTGAGCTTGGTTGTTTTCTTCCAGACGTTTCATTACCCAGCTAGGAAACATCATCAGTGTGCTGCAAGAAAACAACCAAGATCAGAAAACACCAAAGATCTCACGGGAGGAAGGTGCTTCCTGGGTTATTGAAAGATAACAGGGGGAATGAAGATGCAGTTCAGATTGTTTATAACCGAAGAGGGGTGGGGGAAGGGGTCAATCCGAAAGCCATCGATAAAACCCTTGCTTTGCTTCTGGAAACAGTTACATGAGCATGCATTTGGTAATATTCCAAAAAGTAATGTTTTGGAAAGCATGAGCTTTTCTCCTAAGGCACAACCCCCTAGGAAAAACCCAAACTGTCACTGGGCTTTTCTTGAAGTGACACTTGACAAGAGGCACTTTGGGGATTATGTTGTCAAGGCATTCGTATTACATGCTACTAACTGCAATCTAGACTTTTGTCAACCTTAGCAACTTTAAGATGCGTGGGCTTCAACTCTCAGAATCCCCCAGCCAGCCATGCTGGCTGGGGGATTCTGAGAGTTAAAGCCCACGTATCTTGCATCTTAAAGTTGCCACGGTTGAGAAACACACCAAGGCCTTTAACCATACTAGCAAGGCTGGGTTAGGGAATTCTGGGAGTTGAACATCCACACCTTTTAAAAGTGGGACAAACCCTGATCTAGGTTACTTTGGCCCCGATTTGCAGCTGGGCAGAACTCAAGTCTTTCTTCTCTGGCAGGAAATAAAAAGCATGGCTCCCAAAGTGGCAAATGGTTTGATCCACCCTTTCTCCAAAATTATTGCAACGGGAGGCCTCTTTATACCGAAGAAACTTGTTTGCTTTTGATGTTGCCTCATCAGAATGTTAACCAAATGCACACCCATTTGGAGAAGGTGCTGTTCCCTTCCCCTCTTTAATCCCACCTGGAAAAGGGCCTTTTCACTTCCTTAAGGCTTCTTCTTCTATATATAAAGGTGAAATACCCCTCACGCATCATCACAAAATCTCCAGAACCCTAAAGCCTACAAACTTTGAAATTTGGCACCTATGTTCCTCTTGGCTTCTAGGGGCTCACTAAGAAAGGATTTTTTGAAATGACCATCAGAGCATTAGTATTTCCTATATTATTATTATTATTATTATTATTATTTATTATTATTATTATTATTATTATTATTATTATTATTATTATTATTATTATTATTATTATTATTATTATTATTAATTTATTAACATGCTCTGATGCTAAGGAGTTCCACTCCTCCTCCCCACCTGAAAAGAAATCTCTTCCAAATGCAAAACGCAAGCAGAGGAGAGGAGTTTTCAGTTTTAGTTTCCCAGCAGCAACCAGCTTTAGTACAGAACAGCTGAGCTAAGCCACGCCCAGGCTCCTTGCTGTCACCTTTTTGCTCACACAGCAAATACTGTTTCACTTTCCAAACAGCCCTCAACTCTCTCACACAACTGACAGGACGCTAGCCAGATGAATACCAATGGATAGGCAGAGGCAGAATCCCCCCCCCTCGTTATTTTCCTCCCCAAAAACTAAGCTCTCCACATAGTTTCGTAGCGATGCAGGAGTATTGACCTAGTTTTGTATAAATTCCAGATCCCCAATTTGTTTTTGTTTTTTTCTCGCCGTTTCCAGAGAGCTCTCGAGTCTCCTCTTAAGACTGCTGGGCTAGGAGATGCTGGCACATGACTGCTAGCGTGCCTTTCTTACAGATTTAAAAAAAACGGGTTCCGGAGGGCCCGCCCACCTTCCGAGGGAATTCAAAATAATGTAAACAGCGAGCAGCAAGAATAGCTGTGTCCTGTCCTGCACAGGCTGTCCCCCTTCTCAGTCCTCAGCTGCTTTGGGTTGGGAGGGAGAGAACGGTTTCCCCCTTCTGAACTGCAACAGAATTCATTTGCCTTCTTGGAAAAGAACCGAGGACGCTAACTCTTTTCCTTTTTTCTTTTTCTCCAGTTGGTAAACACAAAATGCAAGTGATTGCTGCCTGCCGGGACGCTATTAAGAACAACAGCGTTAGTATGCTCATCAAAATCATGCGCCTGGGGACATCGTGCTCTTGATCCGAGTGAAGATTGGAGGCCAAAACTAGCCAAGGGAGGAGTGGAGCAGAAAGATCTAGAGGCAGATAAGACAGTAGAGGATGCTGCCCGATTAGTGCCCAGTGAAGTGCAGTACGAAAACTTCACTAGGCCTGGACGCTCGACCGCCTGTGGTAGGGGAGTGAAGGGTAGGATGTTGACACTTTATAAATATCATGCTAGTGGAGAGAGGGCCAAGCTTTTTATGGACATTACAGACCAAATCTGGGAATTTCAGAAGCCAAAACCGCCCTGGAGGCTGTTGATTTAAAATAGCAACGTTTGATCCTTCAATAAAACTGACAGACCTCAGTCTATCGGTATGATTTAATTCACTTAGGTCAGAGGTGTGTCCAATCTTGGCTGCTTTAAAACCTGTGGATTTCAATTCCCAGAATTTCCCAGCCAGCCATGCTGGCTGGGGAATTCTGGGAGTTGAAGCCTACAAGTCTTTAAAAGCCCAAGGTTGGATACCCGTGAGCCAGACAATGAGGAGAAACTGTACTCTAGCTTTGGTATGAAGCAAGACAAGGAAAGCTTAAAAGTAATGCCAAACCTTTTTTTATTATTATAAATTAATGTAAGGTCTTGATTAAGAATAAAGTTTAAAAAGGGTCACTGCCTTTTAAACATTTAACCGTTTCTGGTTCAACATTTTGTCTCAATTATTAAGCTGGTTGCAGCTATTATAATTGAATTAGGATTCTCCCCTTGGTGCAGCTGACAGCAATCCGTCACGGCTTACACATTTCAAAGGCTGGCTTGACTTACGGTTTAACAAGCTCCATGAATCCCAACGATTCATCGTTTACTCAACAAACCATAACCATATTCCGCAATTATTAACCCAAGCTGCAAAATACCACATAATTAGACCAATAGGAAACACCTTTCTTCTGTCGTCTGTGAGAAACAGAAAGTTTTGGAGAACAGAGTTTTGGCTTCTTCCAAGGCTGCTGTGTTTTCTGAGGCTGCTTAGGATGAGCCATAACCAAAGTCCAGCCTCAGTCCAAACGATGTGGTATTCGCGCATTGTGGAAGTTTTGTGGCCCCCTCCAGATTCATGGTTCAATTTCCAAAAGGGCCCCAGAAAAGGAGTGGTGTTTTGCCAGGAGCATCAGAGTAAAGCAGATGGTGCAACAGGATCTTTCTTTGTAAGAAAGGATAAAAACTGTCCTTTGAGTATTGAACTAGGAGAAATGGCTGGCCGTCACTGGCTGGCTCCATTTCTCATTCATAGTAAACAAAGGAGAAGTCCCAGAACTCTTTTGGGTCAGGCATCTGCTCCAAACTACGCTGATTAACATACTTCACAAACTTCAGTGTCTCTCGATCTCTGTAAACTAAAGCCAAGCAATTGGCCTCTGGATTAACTGTCAGCAGCTTGAAAAGAGAATAAAACAAGGACAGTTAAGAAAACAACCTGTATTTCCTTTTAAAGATCATACAGTGAATGCCTCTGTGCAGACCCGTCCAAAACGGGGTGGGAAACAGGATTGTCAGCGGCTACTCATTACGAGATGCTACATTCATTAGGCTCATGTTCAAATTCACAGAGGCATCTTGAGTGGCTACCGTGGGAACAAAATGTCCCTCTATTCAGTCAGCTCCAGCCCTTTTCAAACGGCACAAAAAAGGCGAATTCTTTGCTTGAAACCATTATGGAAATTGAAAGTAGGACTTGGCAGTAACACAATAGCATTAGCAATGCTCTTATGACGGATTATTCTGTTCAGATTTGTCAATGCATCTTAAAAAAAAAGATACGGGTGTTTTTGTTGTTGTTTTTAAAGGGAGGATATTAAAGTGATTACTGGATTGAATCAGATCCCCTGCAGGGTGAAAAACAACCAGGGTAAATGGTGGGGGAATTAAGTAGAGCAAGGGCAGAAATAATATAAATAAGAACATTCATACAGGTAAAATTCTAGAGATTCTCCATCATCCAGGTCACGGCTGTCCCAAGGGTGCTTTTTCAGGAGGCAACTGGACTGTCTTTGTTTTTTTTCCTTTTGAAGACGTTTCGTTTCTCATCCAAGAAGCTTCTTCGGCTCTGACTAGCTGGTGGGGAATGGAAGGATTTATATTCCTTGCAGACAGCTGGTCACTTGCATCCTTTTAGTCATTGAAGGATGCAAATTTCCAGCCGTCTGCAAAGAATATAAATCCTTCCATTCCCCACCATCCAGTCAGAAGCTTCTTGGATGAGAAGCTAAATGTCTTCAAAGAAAAACAAGTCAGTCCAGTTGCCTCCTAAAAAAACACTTTGGGGACGTGCCTACAGGGAGTCCTCAACTTAAAACCATTCATTTAGTGACTGGCATTCATGGCCAGTCCGCACAATTACAACTGTTGCAGCATTCCCACTGTTCACACGATCCAAATTTGTGCACTTGGCAACCGGCGTGTATTTTCTTATAAAGGCTGCAAAGGGGACAGATTGGCCGCGCACAGCTCACCTAATAATACCCCACTTGCTTTAGCAAGATAAATTATGTTCCTGTTTGTGGTTGAAAGTTGGGGACTCTCTGTAGAATATTTTAGATTGGTCCACCCTGGGCTCCAATTTTGCATAGTTTCCCTGATCCTTGGATTACTTCACTGGCCCTTGCATGACGATGAGGCTAAGGTCACCAGGAAACACCGCTTTTCAAGTGGCATGCAGTGTTTTGTCACATGCAGGAAGAAGGGGTGGGCTCCTGGGGGTTCTTCTCAGGGGTTCGGGAGAGCCCCTAGCTAAGATTCTGTGCAGTTTGGAGGAACCCCCCAAATCCCACTCCTGGCTGGCCCCACCCACCCCTCCCCTCCTCGGAGTTCCCACGTGGCCTGTTTTGGATGCAGGTAAAGGCAGGGTGGGCGAAAAACGGGCCTCCCGGAAGTTCAGAAAGGCCCCATTTCTGGGTTCCAGAAAGCCTCCGGAGCCCAGGGAGGGCAAAAATGCTGCCCCCCCTCCCCGGCCATGGTGCAAGAGGCCAACTAGGCCACGCCCACCATGGCCACACCCACCTAGCAACCAGGCATAGAACCCATTGCTAAAAAATTTTTGAAGGCCGCCCCTTGCACAGTTCATCAAAATTTTAAGAAGGAGCCGTGAGCTACTTCCCAAGGCTGGACATCTGGAGAGGGAGGGATAGGAAGAGCTTATGTTCAGTTTCAAAACAACCAAGTTCACCTGTGCTTTTGAAAAATGGGGTGGGGGAAAAGAAAATGTTTACCTCTTCATCTTCACCTTTGGCAATGTATGAAGTGAAGCCTCCCGATTCGACGTCCCAGCCTTAAAAAGGAAGGAATTGTTCGCATTTAAATTTTAAAGTGAGCAGCCGCAAGCCCAATCCATTGGCCCAAACACAACAGCAAGGTTTCATTTATTTTTGTTGATTTATCTGCTGCCCATCTCGGCTAGAGACCCTGGGCGGCCGAGCAACATTGGTACTAAGAAGATTTTAAAATTTGTTTTTAGAGGAAGGCTGGCCAACTCAATCGGAAAAATAATAATAATCTAGTGATGGCTTTGGATTGTGAAGACAAGTATACGACATCTGCAAGGCTTAATATTCTGAGCAATTTCCAGGGCTGTCTATGGAGATTCTCAGTCATTCAGGTCGTGGTTGTCCCCAAGGTGCTTTTTTTCAAGAGGCACCTGGACTTTCTGTTTTTTTTCTTTGAAGATATTTCGCTTCTCATGAGAAGGGAAACGTCTTCCAAGAAAAAACAAAGTCTAGTTGCTCTTTGAAAAAAAAGCACCTTTGGGACAATTTCCAGGGAGATATGCATTGTTTTGACCCACGCCCTTTTCCGACAAATTAAACACAATCCAAAGGGAACAGAAACCTTTTAATGCTTCTGCCAAATAATTAGCTGTGATAAGCACAAGCCTTGCCAAACTGTGCGAGACTTGCCAAAAGATAACAGACAAGAAATAATTTGCAATACAAGAATCTTCAAATACAAACTCAGGATACTGGAATGTCCACGATGCTGGAGTTTCAAAACGTCTTTGCTTCCTGCAAAGAAGGTCCGATTCACAGCTGGCTTTTATCTTCTTGAAGGAGGGGCCATTACCTTGCAGCCTTACTCCCGAGTCACTTGTGCTGTTGTAACTGCTCTTTCCTGCGAGCAATCCTGCGCGCACGCTTTGCACTTGGCACAGGCTCCTCGGGAACCTCCTCATCGCTGCTGCCAGCCCCCACAATCTCTGAAGGCAGCAGTCCACTCCCTGATGGTCCTGGCCCCTCACCTGAGTCCTCGCTCTACTCAGCCATCCCCACCTGCTGCCGGCTAACCACAACACGTATTATGTTTTCTCATTTAGGCCTAAAGGATTCCCCCCCCCCCCGCCATGGTTAACACTGGATTATCTTCTTGCATTAGTGGATAAAACAAAGTGGCTGAAAACGAAGAGACTGCAAGCCTAGCCAATGTCGGGTAACTGAAGATCAGTGAGACGGATAACCTGTTGCTTGGGAGCGGCTGAGTTTAACCCCTTTTGCTGAGTTTAATCCCTTTTGCGGTGCTTCAACAACAGCTCCCCCCCCCCAACTCCCCGGCCCTCCTTCTTCGCTGGGAGGTGGGGCAGGAAGAGCCCTTCCCCATGAACAGTTTCAGACAGGTTAAAGCGGAACCAACCTTCACACCCACAGAAGAGCAGCAAATCCAGGGCAAACTCGGCTCTTTGGGCATCATGGATCAGCGTGTAGCATCCTTTTCTCCAGCGTCTCAGTTCTCCGGAGCACAGAGGGACGCCTGAGGGAGAAAAGACCAGGTATTCTCGGCTTTCAAGATGGCCACATAACATTTTAAAGAACTGGGTGAGGGAGGGAGAAAAAGAACCTGTCCTTGAAAGTCTCTGGAGATTTTCAGCATCCAGGTTATGATTGTCCCGAAGGTGCTTTTTCAGGAGGCAACTGGACTTTCTTTTTTTCTTTGAAGACATTTCGCTTCTCCGCCAAGAAGCTTCTTCAGCTCTGACTGGATGGAGGGGAAACGGAAAGATTTATATTCCTTGCAGACAGCTGTTCATTTGCATCCTTTTTAGAGGGCTGTTGAGGCCACTTGGAGGTTTATTTGTGTCCTCAGATAAACGTATTTTGAAGATGTTTCACTTCTCATCCAAGATAAACTCCAAGTGGCCTCGATGACTCTCTCAAAGAATGCAAACGACCAGCTCTCTGCAAGGAATATAAATCCTTCTGTTCCCCACCATCCAGTCAGAGCTGAAGAAGCTTCCTGGAGGAGAAGCGAAACGTCTTCAAAGAAAAACCAGAAAGTCCAGTGGCCTCCTGAAAAAAGCACTTTTTGGGACAGCCGTGTCCTTAGATTTCCCCAGAGTAAGTTCCAATCCTCCGAAATTTCACATCGCTGGGATGGGCTCGGCAGCCTCCTGTCAAGCTGATACCAAAGCCAACAATTTTTCAATATGG